TGGCAACAGTATGGGAATCATAAGTAAACCAAGTAGTCACTAAGATCTATTAAAAGCAGAATTCAGAGAATAAAAATAACCATACATCAACTGCTTTTTTTGCTGCTGCTTCAATCTGCTTAAAATGATCCTCATTCAATCCCAGATCTCCATAAAACGCATCATAATAGAATCCCTGTAAAAGATATAGACAATTCAAGATAAGTTGTCACGAGTTAATACGAGTATATGAATACCGCAGAAAATGCAAACCAACTGAATGATAAAAGCTATTGAAATCCAATTTTAAATCAATGTGAATCCGTGTGAAATCAAGTCACTTGTCAAAGTTTCCTACAGGCCTGCTTGGGAGTTTTGGGATACCGGCTATAATATTTTTGTAAAAGCACCAGTTTTAGGCATTTATGAGGTGTCCAATTTTTGGAGACTTTTAACAGGGATTTTTAAAACAGTCCTACCCATGCTTAGGAGTTTATTATTCGAATGTTTTGAAAATTTTCAAAAAGAATAAAATTACATATATGATGAAATTTTCAATTTATAATTCCTCGTACAAATTTTTTTACTCATAAGTGACATTATACTTATAAGTATTTTTTTTATTTTTTTTTTACATATAAGTTAATTTTTAACTTAAAATGTGAAACATTTACTCATAATAAAAATTTTAAGTTATAAGTAAATTTTTACTTATAAATAAATTTTACAGTTGTAAGTTAATTTTGTATTTATAAATAAAGATTTACTTATAAGTAACTTCTTTTACTTTATAAGTGAATGTTAATCTTATTAGTTGTATATGTTACTTTAAAAGCAATTTTTTACACAAAAGTGAGTTTTATCTTATAAATAATATTTTACTTATAAGTAAATTTTTTAGATATAAAGTAATTTTTTTCGTGTAAATAATTTGCTTAGTTACTGTCATTTTATTTACAAGTTCATTTTGAACAAAATATGTGGCTTGGAAATAACTGTTTTATAAAGGGAAAACTAGGAAGAAAATTTGAAAAATGGTTCCCTACACTGATTTTGGTGGTTTTTAAACAACCTAGAACCGGTACTATAAAAAATTAGCAAGCACCGTTTTCCAAACTCTCATAAACAGTGCCAACCAAAAAAGATTAGAAAAGCGGGATAAATACTCCCAAGTAGGACCTAAGGCTCCATTTAGAAATTAAAAAAGCTAGATTGGGAGAGATCTAATCCAACTTTACCCATGAGTATAAACAAAACAAAAATTTCTCTCAGTAAGTTGTGATTGATCACAGTTTCGCTCAATCTAGTCAGAAATCGATTTGGATTTCACTCCTTGTAGAAATACTTGAAATGTACGTTTTATCGGTGATTAAATTGAAAGAGAGCAGTTGCAGCCTACTCTTGAGTCTTGAACTTGTAGGCTAATTCAAAGTCAAGTTCGGCACTGAGAAAGGAGATTCAGTCAACAAAAATGGAAAACTGAACGCTCCTTTCTTTACAACAAAAATGATGAAAACGAAACGAACTCTAAAGTCAAGTCTTTGTTAGTCCTCTCAGGAATTCCCATCATCCTATGTTCTGAATTGATTAATCACAAGAACAACTTAACTCAGTTCATCACAGATCACCTTGCACGAAGAATTCAATTCAAGACTCTTCCATAAGGACAGAAAACCATAAGTCCTCATTACAGTTCACAATCACTCTTAAGGTTTCTATATTGAACTAGTGATTCACGTAATAGGTACCATGGTTTCTATATTACTGTCTTGTAAACTGTTTCCTCAGGTTCTAATTGCTCACCAACCAAAAAGTTATTCCTTTTAACAGTACATATCATTCCACCGCAGTTCCAACAAACATATAAACTATCACGCAGCACTGTTGAAATTAAAAATCAGATATTACAGGACTAACTAAAATAAGAAATACAAATCCAATCCCATTTTCAAAACCGCAGCAAATCAGATTGAAAAGAAATCATTTTTTTATGAACTCCCTAGCTAAAAATCAACAAACCAAGTAAAAATTACTTTACCTCCCCTCTTGTAGTACATGGCCCAATACACAATTTGCAGCCATAAGTCTGCTCCAAAGACTGCCAACACCAAACACAGAAGAAAAGGACAAATATGATCGCTCCCAAGTAATTCAATTCAAGCAGCATCATAATTTCACTAAACATAAATCAAATTGTATCCAAAAGCATTCTAATAAATGCATCTGCAATGATAGATATGTATCATCAGACCTGACCAAGAATGTGGGCACTTGAGTGCCAAAAAGTATCACGTCCCTCATCCGTCTCAAAATTAAATAGCTCGAGCTTACAATCGCCCTCTAAGGGCCTATTCATGTCCCACAAAACCCCATCGACCTTTGCAATCAAGGCATTCGAGGCCAAGCTCTTGGAAATATCCCTTGCCACGTCGAATGGTGTAGTGTTCCATTTCTTACCCTCCTTCACCTTCCCATCCCGCAACGTAATCCTATTAAAAAAAAAAACAACAACAACAACAAAAATATAAAAGTTAAACTAAAAAAAGAAGTAATGAACAGAAGGGCAAAACTTAGGAATAGTGATTACTGGATGGGGTCAGGAGAAAGGGATAGACGCTGGAGTTTCTGCTGGTTTTGGACGGACTCAAAGAGGGAGATTCGTTTGGGGACGACGTTGTGCAGATAAGATTCGTCTCTGGAGTAAGCTGGTGGGCCGGAGTTGGAATTGGGTTTTGTCTGAGTAGAGTCACCCATCAGAGAAAAATGGCAGCGGATGAGAGATGTTATGTTGGCGGACGACGGCTGGGGATGGAGGAGGAATATAGAAATGCAGGGGAGGCGCCACCTAAGAACCGGCGAAAATGGCATAAAGCGGGCTTTAAGACGTTAAAAGTACGGAGAAGGGTTTTCAGTACAGTGGGGGGAATTATATTTTAGGTAACATTACAATCCATATTAATCCATTTACATCAATCAATTTCAATTCATACTAATTGGTCACTTAAGTTCAATTTAGTCATAATTAAGTCACTTCCTTCGTGTAATTTCAAACAAAGTAATAAAACTTACAAAATTAATCGTGATCTCTTAATTGTCACAATTTATACTTATGTTAATAGTTTAGCGCATTCTTTATTATTACTTTGAGATTCTGAAGCATAAGAAAATTTAACTCGTTAGAGTCAATTAGATGATTTATGAATTAAAAATAACGTGTATAAATGTTATCATCTAAGTAGACTAAGTTAACCACACCGACATCGCTCAACTTAATAAACTTATTGATCTTGCCCTTAAAACTAATGTTGCACAAATTGAAGCATGAGACATGGGAAATTCATTAAATGCAGCCGAAATGTTATCAAATTTGTTAAAACGTACCCAAATTGAGTGCTTTAATTTTAATTAAAAGTTGAGTGATCCAATTCCTACAAATTCAAGTTCAATGACTTAATCGCAATTGAGATGAGAATGGGATGACTGCAACTATAATTAACTAAATCCACAATCACTTTTAGCCACTGTTTGATGGGGAGAAATAATGTTTTGAATAGTGATTTTGTAGAGAATGTATAGATAAAGAGTATAAAAATATTTTATTACATAAATATATGGTGAAAATGAATATAAAAATTAAATAAATTTGTTTTAAAGGAAGACAAATGGGCTTCGCCATCATCTCATCAAGTTTAACTTGTGTATAGTCGCACGACTCGCACAAAAGAAGTTTAAATAGTTGTGATCCAAAATTGTTGCCGATCTCTCAATGTATTTTATTCTAGAATATTTCATAGAAATAGTATACATGCTTTAATGGCATCACCTGTATGATGCATTTTTTGTGTTTATTATGTCAAAAATCAATAAAAAAATGTCAAGTATCTTTCTATAAAAATTTTATCAAATTTTTCTGTACTTGTAGCAAAATTGTTTATTCTATAAAAACTTACTATTAATTCTTTACTAATCAGTGGTCATTGTTCACTTCAAAAGATTTCATTGCATTTCCCATAATTACATTGCCATTACTCACAAGTTGAAAAACTTGTTATATATTTTTGAATGCTCGAACTTGATAAAAAAATAAATTAGTTTCTTTTTGTATGGTATTTTTTACTAATATTTATAAAAAAAATTGATCAAAATGATCATATTTAGTGGAAAAAATATTTTCTTTCGAGTAGTATTTTCTACCATAAATATTTATGAATTACTATTCCTTTCACATCAAATAATGGGGGCCAAATGGGATTAGATGTTCAGTTGAATACAATGACACTTGAAATAGTGCTCAAC